TTTGTCAACAGAAAAAATAATGGTAATAATAATAAATGCAACTCACCAAAGTAAGATCCAAGTTGGGGTTTTCATCGGCCTCGCCATGGCCTGCAATACGTTTATAAAAAACTACATTTTCTTCCGCCAAACTCAGCTAGCATGCCAAATTTATTGATCCAAAAAGCCAACATAAAGTTCATGAGGTAACCATGAACATAAGAGGTATAATTCACGTAACAAACATTTTTTAGATGAGGTATTTGCCCTTATAGTATGGACACAAATTCTAAGTAAAATCGTAATTTATCATCTATGTTTTACAAATGACATGATCCACCCGATGTGAAAACTTTTGAATAGTATCAAGAAGACGTGATGCGATACACACCTTAATTTGTTTTGGGATTTGTGAACATGAAAGACCTTGTGACACTATTATTTCGATCAGGTAAGGTGTCGACGCATAAAACCCAACCATTACATTGTTTGCTCCCTCTTAGGGATGATCTGCAACAATGGTCGTGCGAAAATCAGTATTCCCCTGTGCAAAAAAATGAGAAACAATAAAAATCATAAGAAAACTGCCCATGAAATATAAACAAAGACTCCTCCAATGCATTTAAAAAACATTAATATCAAAGCATAAATCTAACCACGAAACTAAACTCCTTGTCACTATAACCGAACTCAGCTTTATTTTATACAACGCTAGAAAGAACAACCCGCTTAGTAACAAAACAACCCAAGTCTTCGTTATCAATAATTGGGAAAATTGGAGCAAATTAATAATAAAAAAAATTCCCCGCAACGGGCGTAATATCCAAGTGCTCTTGATTTTTGGCAGAGTCGTCTCCCAGGCCATGGAGTAGAGAGTCACCGTGTCCGCGACAGAAGAGGTCCCTTTGCGGTGATTGTGGTCAACCGTAGTGTCTTGGCTCAAGCTTTCCTATATGAACCCGATAAATAACGAATCAACATAACCATCGTTTCTCCTCATATATCTTATAACTTTGGCAAACTGGAGCGAAATTTCAAATACTCCACTGCAAGTAGTCATAGTATTATGACTTTGTAGAGTGGTATCTCTCTTATGAAGTTCCATTCTAATTTCTCAGGCAATCATCATTTCACGCAGTAAATTCTCAGCATCTTATATTCCCATTAAACTAATTGCCTTAAAAGCCAGATCACACGAAGATGTCGAATTCATATAGAAAGCAAACCAAACAGGGTTCTTAAAGGTGGAAAACAATATAAATAATTCTAGTTAGCGAAGATAGTAGAGATTAACCCAATAGGCAAAAAGCCAACTTTCATTGCATTGCATTAGAACCACTAAAAAAATGTACGGAAAAAAGGCTTTGCAAGAAGCAATTGTTAAAATCTTGTTCACTGAGTGAAGACATGAAAATCACTTAGAACCAAACTTTTTATTTCATAAAGTACTCAAGTTAAATCTCTTGACACCAAAGCAAAAGAATGAAAATAAAGATAAATCCCTAAGCAAAATATAATGAAAACAAAGTTAAATGCTTAAAAGAACCCGATCAATTCCTTTATACTATTCATATGGGTTCTATCACTGTTGGACCAACATGCGTGTGTGGGTACACGCGATCCAATGGTGATAAATGCCCACACGGTAGGATCGAACTTACCCAAAAACCTCAATGTACATCGGGCAAAAAAAAAGCAATAATCAATATGCATTACAACAAAATGAAGGAACATCTTGGATGAAAAGATATATATGTTGTTCCTTAAACCTTGAGCTGCCATAAACTCATAATACATAGCATTTGCAGTTCTTCCTCGACCTACAGCCCCAATGAACCCTATCATCAATTTCAGATATAGTACTTCTAATTTATATAAGGATGATAAACAATGCAAAAATAATTCCTATTTCAAACTTGAACTAATTAAAATATATGAATCAAGCACATAGATTTAGAAATCAAGAGAAACAAGATTATAAACATCAAAATTACAACCTGAAGTTTGTGTAGTTCGTCAGACATTAACCTCTATGCATCCAATAGAAGCTAATTCTGCTTCTCCAAATGCCTGGCAATTAGTACACAAGGAACTTAGGAAAACAAAATATATCAGACTTATATCTTAATACTATAGAAGCAAACAACAACAATGGAGGCACATAATTAAATATAATTCCTTCAGCACATCTGCAGAAAGCTTAGGGTCTATTGTGAACATATTTGTTTTATAACTAATGAAAAATAAAAACTATAACCCAAGCATTAAAATCTAAATTAATCTATCGTGTATAACAGAAAAGCAAACCTCATCTTATATTCTTATCTGCGATAAATAAGAAACAAAAGTTAGTCTTTAAATGCAAGATCATAAGCTCTAGTCCAGATATATTGCATTATCACAACACAA